CTTTTTTTTCTTTTCTTTTTTTTTTTTTTTTAAATAACACATCGGGATCGACAATTTCAATCAAAAAATAAAAATGAAAGCAAAAAAAATACACAGACAAGTTAGTCTAACAGCAAATCGGAACTTTACCTTAAATGGCCACAAATATGTTCACAATATTCCAAGGGGGGGAAAAAAAGGAAAAAAAGAAAAGGAATCAAAAGAATCAAAATAAAAAGAGAGGAATCTTCTGCCAAAGTGCTTTATTGTCTCACACGTGTGTGACCCTCCGAAACCACCAAAAAGTAGGGAAAGTGTCAGTCCCGCTCCGGCTTATTCCACAGCTTTTACAGGCACCCTACACCTGGCTTTGTTGGGATTTGGGGGGCCAAAAAAAAAATTTATAAATTAAAAAATACATATAAAAAATTAAAATAAAAAAAAAAACAAGGAAAGAAAAAGAAAAAAGAAGGTCCGACAACTTTTGCCCTATTGTTTTTTACAGACACATGGTGAGGGGCACGCGGCGCCGCGGCTCTCGGGGACTTGTCCTTCCTTTCGAAAAAAAAAAATTAAAAAACCCCAAACAAACAAATCCAAAAAAAAAAAAAGAAACCCACCCAGAAGCAGGGGGGGCGCGGGGCCGGCGGTTCCCAGAGTTGGTCCGAGTTTAGGGCAGCGCGGGGCGGGCGGTCCGGGTGAGCAGCGCGGCCTCCCCCGCTGAGCCGCGGCCGCTCGCAGCCCGCCCGGGCATCGCCGCAGCGCCCGCCGCTCACATCCGGGCAATGCCCGCGCCTTATAAACCCGCGCCGTGACGGGCAGCGGGAGGAGGAGGAGGAGGAGGGGAGGGCGGGAGGAAGCGGGCGGGACGGCGCGCCGGGGCTGCACAAGATGGAGGGACCCCGCCACCCCCCCAGCGGAGAGGGGCCGCTGCCCCCGGGCTGGGGCCGCGCTGTGCCCGTCAGTGAGAGGGGCCGCACCGACTCCATTCTGAGGGGGGCTGCGTTGGCTCCATTAATGATGGAGGTCTGCAATGCCCCCCCGAATGGGGGGGGCGCATTGTCCCTGTTAATCAGGGGGTCCGCGGTGCCCCCGGAATGACGTGGGTCCGTACTGCCCACCCTAATGGGGGGGCCGCATTGTCCCCCATCAGTGAGGGGGGTCCACGTTGCCCCCCATCATGAGACGGGTCCACATTGTGCCCCACCGTGAGGGAGACCCATATTGCCCCCCATTGTGACAGGGGTCCGCACTGCCCCCGGCCGGGAAGGAGGTTTGCATCGTTCCCCACCGTGAGGGGGTCTGCATTGCCCCCCACCGTGAAGGGAGCCCACACTGCCCCCCCCCATCGTGGGGGGGTCTGCATTGCCCCCCACCGTGAAGGGAGCCCACACTGCCCCCCCCCATCGTGGGGGGGTCTGCATTGACCCCACCGTGAAGGGAGCCCACACTGCCCCCCCCCATCGTGGGGGGGTCTGCATTGCCCCCCATAATGAAGAGGATCCACACTGCCCCCCAGAATGAGGGGGGTTTGCATTGCCGCTATCACGAGGGAGGTCCCCACTGCCCCCCATTGTGAGGGGGGCCCGCACTGCCCCCAGCAGATCCTGTGAGGGATTTCATGACCCCCCCAGCCCTCAGCAGACCCTTTTAGGGGTTTCGTGCCCCTCAGCAGAACCCGTGAGAGGTTTCAGACCCCTCAGCCCTTGGCAGACCCTTTGAGGGGCTTCAGACCCCTCTCCCCTCCAGCCATGATCAGATGCTATTTTGTGTCCCCCTCCATCCCTCAGCAGACCCCATGAGGGGTTTCAGGCCCCTCAGACCCTCGTCCCTCAGCAGACCCTTTTAGGGGTTTCACACCTCACCATTTCTCAGCAGACCCTTGAAGGGTTTTATGCCTCTCAGCCTCCATAGCCCTCAGCAGCCCCTGTGAGGGGTTCGTGCTCCTCAGCCCCCCCAGCCCTCAGCAGCCCCTGTGAGGGGTTTCCCACCATTTTGAGCCCTCAGCCCCGTGAGGGGTTTCCTGCTCTTCGGACCCCCCCAGCCCTCAGCAGACCCTGTCAAGGGTTTCAGACCCCTCATTCCCCTCAAACATCAGCAGACCCTCAAAGAGTTTTGTGCCTCTCAGACCCCCCAGCCCTCAGCAGACCCCGTCAGGGGTTTCAGACCCCCAACACACAGCAAACCCTTTTAGGGGTTTCAGACCCCTCAGCCCCCCAACCCAACCCTCAGCAGACCCTTTTAAGTGTTTTTTACCTCACCATTTCTCAGCAGACACTCAAAGGATTTTGCAGCCTCTTCATTAGCCCCCGTGAGGGGTTCGTGCTCCTCAGCCCCCCAGCCCTCGGCAGCCCCGTGAGGGGTTTCCTGCCCTTCGGACCCCCCAGCCCTCGCCGGGGCAGCACCTGGGAAGCTGAAATGCTCTGTGAGCATTGGAAGTGGTGTCAAAAGTACAGGAATTGGCCAAAAAGTCTCACCTTGATATTCTGGAACTCCAAAAGGAATTTGTACGCTGTCTGTAAACTGTAATACCAGGATGGCAAAGTACCAGACTCCAGTTTGCTCCAGTTTGGGGTTGTGCCCGTTGTCATTCCTGTAAAAAGACATCTAAATGGGGCTTTCCATAAATCCATGAACGAGAGTGCACTTGTTCAGTGGATTTATGGATTTGCAGATACACTTTGGAAATTTTATCAGACTCCCCATTCCCTCCAAAAACGTGGGAAAACAAAGCCAAAAAAAATTCAGAATTTCGACGCAACCTCTATTATATCCCTTTGAGCTTCATGGGGTCAACATGAAGATGGTTTGGGTTGGAGGGGACCTTAAATTCGCCCATTTCAGTGCAGCTTAACTAAGATAAGTTTCATCAAAAAATGCCTCCGATTTCCATGGAAAGATAATCTCAGAGGGAGGAAAATATTCTTCTGGACTTGTATGAATTCCGATTAAAATTTGGTTTGTTTTCTAATTCCCTAATGGAATGAGATGTTTGATTTCAATTAAAACGAAATGTCATCATTTGAGGATCTACTAATGGATATGGAATAACAGAGCCCATCAGGGAGAAAACAGTGGATTTGGGAAAAGGCCAAGAGGTGCAGGGGATGCAAAGAGATTTTCCATGTATTTTCAGTTTTTGGAAATGGGCAGATGTAGGTCGGTATGGAAATCCATAGGTTGTGATGACAGGAACACAAAAAACACAATAAAGCAATTTCTTATCAAGATTTCAGCAGGAATCTTTTCTATTTCCTAAAGAACCAGCATCTGGAAATATGTTTTTCCCTGAAAACATTTATATACATATTTCATTAAATTATAGAGGGATGTTGTTTGGAGATGTGTCAAAGCAGATTAAACAGTGAAAAGCAATTAAAAAACACAATTATTGTTATTATTTCCCTACTGATTGGAATCTAGTTGGTGACTAAAGTACAGCCCAGAAAAGCTGTGGATTCCCATTCCAACTTGGCCTTGAACACTTCCAGGGATGGGGCAGCCACAGCTTCTCTGGGAATATCATCTGGAGGGAGTTTACAAGATTTAACAGTTTATTCACCCACACGGTATTATTTAAATTATTGAGTGGTCTTTGAAGTCCCTCCATTGATGGCAAAAAAAGGTGGTTGCTATTATAATACATTATTTTTATATATTATTTGTCTTATTAGTATTTATTATTGATCCCAGACCCCCAGAATTTCACCAGACACCCTTGGTTTGAGCACCGTGCGCTGCCATCCCTCGCTTGTACTTATAATGGAATTACAAGCTCCTGGAAAAAATACATGGGAATAAGAATAGGAAAGGGATGAAGAAGGGAATAATTGGGGGAATACATGGTGGCTGGATTAGTTATTGTCCCAATTAGCTGCCTGAGTTAGCTCCTTGACAAGGAACACAGAAGGAAGAATAAAGGGCTATCTGGGACAAGGACAGTTTTTAGGGAAGCTGCTGCTCTAAGTGTATTATGATTTAAATATAAAGAGCTGCAGGTTTCAGTTAAATGGATTTTGATTCTGCTTATTTTTCTAACAGTAGATTTGTTTCATTTCCATATTAATCTCCTTTTATTAAACCATAGACATTTCAACCCTTGCTTTATGGGAACAGCCTAGGACATAATCTAACCTTAAAAAAAATACATGTACTAAATAAAGAGATTGAGGTTGGATTTAAATACTGTGAACTGGACACACAATTATATCATTTCCAGGTCTGGGAGGAGTTGTTTATTTGGGATGAACACGAGGAAAGAAATTTTACTCAAATTAATTTTCATGGTGAACCTGTTACAATGTTTTGGAGGGAAACAAATTTCTTGTGCCAGGGGAGGGTCAGGATGGACACCAGGAGGAATTTCCTGCTGGAAAGGGTGGTCAGGCCTTGGCAGGGGCTGCCCAGGGAGGTGGTGGATCCCCATCCCTGGAGGTGTCCAAGGAACGCCTGGTCTTGGCACTTGTGCTCTGGGATCAGTCCCAGCTTGGACTCCATGACCTTGGAGGTCTCTTCCAACCTCAGTGATCCTGGGATTCTATAAATTTGGAAGTAGATCTTTCTTAATCCACTCAGGAAGAGGAAAGATGTCATTGCATCAAGGGCCATCAGATTTTTGTGTCAGGCCCCCAGACTTCTCCTGTGCTTCCTGATTATTCCCTTTGTTATCGAATAAACCCCAACCAGAGCAATGTTTGTGCCAATGTTTCTTATTCTTTGGGATAATCCAATGAGTGGGATGAAACCTGTGCTCCTGCGAATGTTTTAAGGATTAGAAATTCAGCCAGCACCAGATTTCTAAAGCAGCTCTGCTGAACAAGAGGGAGGACATCAGCAGAGCTCCAAGTGGGGCTGCTGCTGAGAAGAGAAGCTGAGTGGAGGAGCTGTGGCTGCCCCACCTGGGGAAGTGTCCCAGGCCAGGTTGGACAGGGCTTGGAGCAACCTGGGCTGGTGGAACCCTCCAGCAGAGCTCTGGCTGGAGCCTCCAGACACTCCAGTTGGAGCCTCAGAGACACAGACGTGTCTCTGCACTGTCTCTGGGCCACCTCCCACACACAAGACGGGAACATGGGCACTGATCTCCCTCTGCCTGGAGCTCCTTGGGAAGAGCTGCAAGTTGCCACCCCAGAACCTCCTGACTGCAACTTTCTGCCACTCCTTGATATGCACTAACTGTGGATAAATAGCAAAGAACGGGTCCGAAGGGGTCCTGGAAGGGCAGGGAGTTCTCCCTAAGATATAACAACCTCCGTTCCCCAGCAGGAATTCCAGGGCCTTGCTCAGATACATTGGTTGTGTTGCCTGTAGAGAGGGAGCTTAAAAGGTTGAGAAGAAATGAGGGATTAAGGAGAAAAAAAAGCAGGAGAGGGAAAGAACACAAAACCAAAGTACATCTGGTTTCTCCGAGTCCCATCCAACCTGGCCTTGGGCACTTCCAGGGATAAAGGAGCCGAGGAGCAGGCTGGTGGGGCTGGAGTCAGGGATTTACAGCGGCTGACTGTCCAACTCTATAATAAATGAGGCTCATTTATAACTTATCTCAGCTCACCTGGGGCTTCCCTTTTGTCCTGCCGGTGCTCGGCCACAGGAGTGTTGCTTCATGTCTGCACTGAAGAAGGTGTAGCCAGGAGGTTCATAGGATGTGGCTTTCCAGGTCTAGTCTGAAGCTCTGGATGAAACAATTGATATTCCTAAACCTAATCCAAGCTAAGACACCTCCAGCTGGCACCTCCCAGCACCCAAAGTTCTTGCTCTCAGTCACCCACCCTGGGAAAGCCCCTCCCTGCTGAGTACACCCTGATCCTGCAGGAACACCTGCCACCAGCCAAGGTCCTTCCCAAATGTCACAGCTCCTGAAGCCAGGAAGGGAGACAGCCTGGAAGGGCAGATGCCTGAAGCCCTGGGATGGGTGGGTGAAGTTTGACTAGCTCAGGGGAAGGGGAATTCCAGTGCTGGGAAGGGGCCGCGCGTGAGGTCACCCAGGCAAGCTGTGGCTGCCCCACCCCTGCAGTGTCCAAGGCCAGTAGGACGGGGCTCGCGGCAGCCTGGGCTAGCGGGAGGTGTCCCTGCCCGTGGCAGGGGGTGGGATAAGACGAGCCTAAAGGTCTCTCGCCACCCAACCCGCTGCGGGATTCGGGGTTTCATTTCCTCGCCGGGATGCGCGAGGAGGACGGGGGGCCGGGGCAGGAGGAGGAGGGAGAGCAGGAGGCGGGCTGGGCAGAGCGCTGCTGCTCCCGGGAGTAACTCCGGCCATGTGCCGAGGGAGGGAGTTTGTCTCGGCCCGGCAGCCCAAAGAGCCGCGCTCGGCTCTGCCAAGCACCTGTGTAACAATGCAGCTGCAGGCCTGGGAAAACAATGGGAAAACAATGGGAACTGTGACAGCCCATTAATATCGAGCGGCCCCAGAGCGGGGAAGGCACCGAGACACAGTTCCACCGGAGCACACGGCGGCATTCCCGAGGTGTGCCAGGGAGCACTAACCGGGACTGGGGGGTGTGCACACCACGTCAGCTGAGGGGTTATTGGCTCTGCCAGACAGCAAAACAAACGGAGCACGAGGATCGATTCCTTCGGCGTTTCCTTTCCTTTTTATTCCATATCCATTTGATGTGTTGGGATTTTTCCTTGTTTTCTGTGTTTTGTAGTTTGCTCTGGCTATTTTTTTTTCTGGAGAGGCAGGAGTTTGGAAAGTGCAGGCGGCGTTTCCAACTGTGATCCGCACAGATGGGAGCGAGGGAACATTCTCCAGGCAAAAATTGTTCTCGGAGACATTTGGATCCGAAAGGATCTGTCTCCGTACGAGGTGGAACATCCTGATTCTCGACAAGAGGGGGCTCAGGCAGGCACATCACAGAGGAGGGAGCCATGGGCATGAGGAGGAGATGGATGCAGCTTGGATCGTAGAACCACAGAGTCCTGGAACGGGTTGGCATGGGCCAGTGAAATCCAAAACAATTTGCCTTGCATAGATTAGCAGTTCCTGAAGAGATCCCACATTAATCTGGGAAAGATTTCCACGAGGTCGAGGGTGTGAGGTCAGCAAGAGGCAGTTAAATTGTCTGAGCCTATAGTGCCTCCCCATAACCCCAAAGGAAAAGGGGGCCTCATCCAGCTCGATTTTCCTGCTCATGGGTCCCTGTTGCTGCACTGTCAGGAGCTCAGCTCATGGAATTTGGAAGCACAGGATACACAGAGGAAGCTCCAGAGTGTCTATGGAGCCCTGGAAAAGCTGGTGGCATCGGTCAAAGGCAGCTCTCGGGCTGAGGAGTGGCCAGCTCTCCGTTCATCACATCTTTCCCTTCCGTATCCACGTTCCTTTTGTTCCTCTCAACCCTAAATTTCCGTGGTTTTCTCTCCCTCCCCTCCTGGAATGGCTTTGCAAATGCTCAGCCTTAAGTAATAGTCGGTAAAGGCAAATTACCTTAAATCAAGGCAGGGTTATCTAATTTAGAGAATAGGAAATAGAGAGAAAATCAAAGTAAATGAAAAGCAAACGGAATAATTCATCTCCAACCCACAGGCTGGCTCAACAGGACGAGGCTTTGCCTTGTGCTCGGCTGAGCAGCCACACAGCACAAGTTACAGGCCCCTGATCCCAAACCAACAACCTCCTGGGGCCCTGCACTCCCAAATCCTAAAGCACATGGGATTATTCCTGGGCGGTTCTGCTTTCATCATCAACACCTCCAGCTGAGCCTCTCTGTGCTCAGCTTCCTCCTGCCTTGGCTGGGGCACACTCACTTCCCTGGACTGTTTGTAAGTGCCAGCTCACACCTTCCTACCACATCTAGACAAGATAGTCCATGGAATTCCAGACTGGATTGAGTTGGGAGGGACCTTAAAGCTCATCCCATTCTGACCAGTCACCTTCCACTAGACCAGGTTATTCCAGCCTTGGCTTGGATCCAGGGGCAGCCACAGCTTCTGGGCAACCTGTGCCAGGGCCTCACTTCCCTTGCAGCCAGGAATTCCTTCCCAACATCCCACGTACCCCTCCTGAGTTCCCCCCTTTAGCTCTCCCCAGCCCTTTATTAACATGCAGTACGGCGCCGTCCCCCGTGGAATGAATCCCATTACAGGATCCTGCAGAAGGCTTTCCAGCTTCCTTCCGATTCACACAGGGTGCTTCAGAGCAATCCTGGGAATACAGGGGAGGTCTTTGGCAATTGCACAGCACCTTTTTTTCAGGCAACTTCACTGAAGATGCCCTTGTTAGATGAAAGACTCCTCAGAAGCTGATTACCCCCTCCGGTTGGGATCCTCATTGTTCTCCAGACAGAGGAGCTGCTCCGATATCTTTTATTTAAAGAATTGTCACCTTAGTTTATTATGGAATCATGGAATGGTTTGGTGGGAAGGGATCTTGAAGATCATCTTGTTCCAACCCCTTGCCATGGGCAGGGACACCTGCCACTGGCCCAGGTTGCTCCAAGCCCTGTCCACCCCAGCCTTGGATGCTTCCAGGGATGGGGAATTCTCTGAGACAAGGGAGTTTTAGATTGGCACCAGAAAACATGTACTGGAAGCTCCCCCTGCCTTCCTGCAGGATGGATCCATGAGGGAATTCAGGAGAGCATTCCCATCAGTGGGGCTGCAGTTCTCACCTGCTGCTGAGCTGCCTCTGCGGGGCTCCAAGAGCTTTCCCAGGGAGTTCGAGTAGGAAACAAGGAAAGGCATCACTGTGACCACGTGGGGCCGAGGGATCCACTCCAGGATGGTGTTTCCTGAGCCTCATTCCTGGTTAAGTGCTCCAGGCCAGGCTTGGAGCAACCTGGGCTAGTGGAAGGTGTCCCTGCCCACAACAGGGGGTGGAAGTGGATGAGTTTTAAGGTCTCTCCCAATCCAAACCATTCTGGGATTCATTCCAGGATTCCATAACCCTCTCTGCACCAAACCCCACAGCCAAGACCTTTGGTGTTTCACACCAACCCCAATCCCAAAGCTTTTGCTCCTGTTTCCATCCCAGTGATTCCCAAGCCGCACTCTGTGCCTGCTGCTCAAATGGGGACATTCCCAGGTTACCCTCTCCATGGATGGAGGCACTGACCTCCATCCCTGAGCTCACAGAGGGGGAGCACAGCCCAGCTCCTCAGCAGCCGAAATGGTCCCATCCAGGTTTGGTTCCCCTTCCCCCTTCCTAAAGAATTCCCAGCGATTCCTGTGCCACAAACACTGGCAATCAGAACCCCTCAGGGTTGGCAGCACAGTTTGGGCAAACGAGGCATCTCCTGGGGAGGCTTCGTTCCGCTATGGGAATTCGGGAGGCTGAGCACCAGCAGGTCACATCTCGCTTCCAGTGGATCCAGAGTCATTTTCCCGTGGAGTCTGGAAGGAGTAGGATTGGATTTGCACTTGGTGTTTAAAACAAACAAACCTATATATTAAATTGGCCTGCGGAATGCGCAGGGAAGTAAAACCCACACCGTTAAATTACAGATGAAGGGGGAAGAGTCCAAATTCTCCCAAATGTTCTCGTTTTCCTGGTTTTTCCCCCCCCTAACGACCGTGGTTCTATTTTGCCGTGGTTTAATAATACAGCAGAGGTTAAATGAAACATGAAAAGGGGCTGTACATTAAAATTGAGATAACTCTTCCTCCAGTGAAGTGGAACCCAGCAGATGTAGCTGCACACTGTAATTGCTGCCTGTTTCCTGTCACTCTGATTAAGTTGCATTGTCCCTGCTCCAAGTGTAGGAATCAGTGGCTTCCCATAGGGCACAGCATGGGACAACTGGCTCCGGCAGGCAAATGGCTCTGTGCACCTCCTGCCCGTCCTGGAATGGTGTAGGCACACAATAGACAGGGATGGCTCCTGGAATCCATAGGCTCTGCAGAGGGGGTCCCACAGGACAGGCACTGCGGGCGAGGGCCGGGGCCTGGGAACGCTCAGATCCCCAGTCCAGAGGCCAAATCCGCGTGGTTCCTGCCTGCTGTGCTAACTCTGCATCTCCAGGGTTACTCTGCACCTTCTAGTGCTGCTCTTCTCCCCCTCCCAAAGCCACAGAATCACAGAATCATGGAATGGTTCGTGTTGGAAAGGAGCTCCAGGACCATCCAGTTCCATCCCTCTGCAGGGACACCTTCCACTAGACAGATTGCTCCAACCTGGCCTTGGACACTTCCAGGGGTGGGGAGTCCACACACTCTGCTCACAGTTATCCGTGTGTTTTGGTAACAAACCCCTCCTTACGGGATTAAACTTCCGATGGTAAAACCCAGGAGCTGTCTGGGAACGCAGGGCTGCATTCCCAGCTGGAGATCACTGGAGCCAGCGCGGTGTCTGTGACTTACAGCAGCTCTTGGACTTGCCTGAGAGGTCCAGAAAGGGCTCTTTCCATGTGAGTCCATTGAGAAGGAATGATCTTGGAGCAGCCTGGGCTATGGAAGGTGTCCCTGCCCATGGCAGGGGGTGGAAGGGGATGATCCTTAAAATCCCTCCCAACCCAAACCATTCTGGCATTCCACAATTCTATAAAATCCCGTTTTGGCTCCTTAATCCCCAGCTGGATCTGGGACCTTGCTTTCTAAAAATGGAAATTAATATTAAAGCTCATTCCTTAACACATGTTTATTTTCTAATTTATAGAATGCACCTATTACAGCCTCCAGACACATGTGCTTGATTATAATGATTATCATATGTATTTTCTAAGGCATCATCACCATAATATCAAATGTCATTAGAGAAATTAGGGAAGAGCAGCAGCATTCCTTCCAGGGAAAAGCCAGTTTCCTCTTTTCCCAGCACAGTAGTGAAATCCCAGAAAACTCAGCTGATTTTCTGCCACTTTTGTTTTAGGTTGACACAAAACAACCTGATCCCTGGGGGAAAGTGCAACGTGCACCTGAAGCGAAGCCCTGTGTGAAAATTCCATGTAAAAAGGCCCGGAGCTGTGCAGGGAAGCTCCAAAATCTGGGCTGCCCACTGAGTCCTGTTTTCCCCCTGCTCCCCCCTGCCAGGGCAGGAACCCACAGCTCATCCCAGGATGAGGGAAACACAAGGACCACGAGATCCTGAGCTCAGGGTTAGGGTGACAAACCCTGCCTTGAATCCTGGCTGCTGCTCCCAGGGACATTTTCTTTCCCCTAATATAAGTATTTCCCAAGGGAAATTCTAATTTCTGGAGCAAAATCCCACTTCAAGACTTGGACGGAAGAAAGCGAGGTGCCAGGGGATCTGCTGGATGCTCTGTATGTCTTCCCAGGGGTGGCAGACACGGATCTGGATTGTTTCAGGAGAGCCAAGGGGTTTTTTAATTTCAATATTTACTTATTTAAGCTCCAGCAGAGGAGGGAAACAGCTGTGGATGACACGGATATCCCACCATTCCAGACTGGATGGTCTGTCTGGAACACACGTGCTGGATTTCAAGTCTGTGTGTGTCCAGGAGCGGGAAGAGGGGGAGCTGCTCTGGGGGGACCCTCCAGGTCCTTCCAGGGAAGGGGCCAGGAAGAGCTGGGGTGGAGGGGATGGAATGACCCCTGGGAGTGGGGCATGGGAAGGTACAGTTGGCTGTGCCAGTGCCCTCAGTGCCCAACACCTCCTATTTTTGGTCCTAATTAATTAAAAACAAGCATTGCCTGTTTTGCTCTACCTGATTTAGCATCACTTTCCCAAACCTCGAGGTTTTCCACCCAGCCTCCCGCAGTCCCCGGGGATGGCAGGCCCTGGTTTTAGCCACGCTGAGCAGAAGAGCCCCTTAAATCCCGTGCCACGGGGGTGAAGCAGCAGGGAGCACAAGGCCGCCTTTGGATTGCTGACTCTGACTAAATCCTGGGGTTTTTTCCTTCCTCTGCGTCATTTATGTGATTATTTTTGTGCTTCGTGTGCTCAAAAATCCCTGGGGAACGGAGAAAGAAAAAAATCTCCTTTTTTATCATTTTTGCTTTGCAAGTCACTTTGTAAGGGAGCACTTTGGTGTCTTCAGAGGGATTGAAACCCACCTGTTCCCTCTGAGGAAAGATGGGAGCGGCCTTTGGATTCGGGAGCTCTCAGTGAGACTAAACCTGTTGGTCCCACACCTGGGAAGGGGGTGTTGAGCAGGATTTTCAGCCTCAAAGCAAAGGTTTATTTTGCTGGTAGAACCAGGGGCCGGAGAAGGGAGCGTTCCTCCCGCTCTGGCAGGGATTCCGGAGTGCTCCCTGCACCCCAGCCACGCCAGCAGCGCTCCAGGGAAGGACTCACCTGGGAAAACGAGGAGCAAACCAGGGAAATGGACCGGCGGGGCTGCACGTCCTGCCTGCTCCCACCTGGGAGGACGTCTAAGGTCACTTGGATAATCTAATCCCGCCCAGGATGATATCTGGCTCCGGCAGGAACTCTTGGAAGGGTTTGAACAACATCCATCTTCATTACACCCCACCCTCGTGTCTGTATGATTGATTCCTGCTAAATTTGGTTTAATTGCTCAGAAGGTCTCAGGGAATGACATTTGGAGGGAGCCAAGCGGGATGTCTGAGCTCCCCCTGCTGCTCCGCCGCACGCACCACCCGCGCCCGCCCCGCGCCCCGGGAGCCGCTTCCTCGGGGCCCGGCCGAGGCCGGCTCGGGGCTAGCGCGGGGGCACCGGGAGCATCCCGAGGCCCAGATCCCACGGGATCAACCCTTCAGCTCACCTGGCCGGGGCTGGCTGCCAAGGGCTGTGTCCGGCGGTGGAACTGGTGCCCCAGGGTTGGATCCATCGGCCATCCCGGTGCTTCGGAGCTCCTGTGGATGCAGCCAGGGCAGGACGAGGTCTCACAGCTCCCAGGTCACGGCCGCGGCTTCCCCTCCTCAGGAATGTGCTCAGCTCTCCCTGCGGACAAACTTCAGCACGTCAGGGCAGATCCTCAGGGAATTAATCCTGCAATCCCGGAACAGTTTGGGTTGGAAGGGACCTTAAAGTTCATCCAGTTCCAGCCCCTGTCACGGGCAGGGACACCTCCCACTAACCTCAGATTGCTCCAACCCTGCCTTGGACACTCCCAGGGATGGGGCAGCCACAGCTTCTCTGGACAGCCAGGGCCTCCCCACCCTCCCAGACAGGAATTCCTTCCCAATATCCCGTCTGGCAGTGGAAAGCCATTCCCTCCTGTCCTGTCCCTCCAAAGTCCCTCTCCAGGTGGAAAGTACTCTGAAACATCCATGCAACACCCACCAAGCCCTTCTGTGTCCTTTGGGAATACTGCCTGAGGAGTTTCTCAGTCTGTGCCACCCTCAGCCTGCTCTTTGGCTGTGGGGAGAGGCTGACGATCCGACAGCTCCGACCGCTCCGTGCAGGAGCCCAGGCAGCCTCAGCCCTGCTTTTTGGAGGTGTAAGTAGGACAACCCAGGGAGGCCTGGCCTGGCACCGCTGCAGCCATGGAAATGATTGGAAAACACCGTGAGGAGAAAGAGAGAAGGGTCTGGGAGAAGGAGGACAGGACCTCGTGAGGGTTTGTTCCCTTTGGCTTCAGGGTGATGGAGGTGAGGGCAAAGGGGGAAAGAAATACACATTTGTGCCCCAAAGATCACTAAATGGAGAGAACCCCCCCGGGGCAAATCCCAGCATGAACTCCTCGTCCTCTGCGCCCCCAGCCCGAGGATCCAGAGCGTGGCCGCGGGCGCCGCGCGAAGATCTCCATTTGCAAACAGAGTTTTAATTATTCGCGAAAGCCGTCAATTGTTCACCAGATAATGCCACGGATTGGTCCTCCCAGTGTGAAGTGCAACCGTCCAGAACCCCCACAGTATTATAAATAGGCTTCGGAGCCGGGATTGATTGATGTTTGGCAGAAAATCTATTCCTCGGAGCATGTGTATTCCTTCTGTTCACCAGCTCCATACAAATATACTCGGGCTGATTTTTTATTCAAATCTCCAATTTATGTCGGGTTTAAACTGTTAAATATTTAAAGCCTTTTTCATCTTCCCCCCCCCATCCCTGTTTCCCGTCTGAGGTAACCAAACCTCGCGCCAAACGCAAACGAGGCTCGGAGATTTAGCACATTCCTGGGGGGGAGAGAAAAGGTTTATTAATTATAGTGAGACTCAAATAATATGCTTCCTTGACACTAATGTTCCATCAGTTCCAAGCACAGGGATCCTGTGGGATAGCTTTAAAGCCTTTCTCAGGATCCAGCTTACGGCGTTTACGGCTCCAGAGAAGGAGGAATGTAATGAACGGCACTCGGAGTTTGAACAGAGGGTCGGGGATATCGAGGTGTAAAAACTACAGCCACGAGGAGCTGTTCCAGGGCAGTCCCTGGGACTCCACGAGGAAACATCAAATGGAGAGCAGTCTGATGTGCTTTCTCAAGAATCTCCACCAATATCCAGGGCTCCTTCGGCCTCGTTCCACTCTGACAGCCAACACCTCCCTGGAGTCGTGTCTGCTGGCAAACCTCCCTCCCCAAGTCTTATTGAAGTTTTCACTTATCAAGTCAATACTCTGGAAGAACTCTATTCTGGAATTTTTGTGACACCAGGGCTTTGATTCCACGCAGCCCTTGTTCTCCCTGTGCATTTCCCTCCCCTCACCCTCGTGGCTGTGAGGAATTCATTTATTCCCAGCTTCGAGAGAGCCGCAGTCGGGAGGCGAGGCCCCATTATGTCTTACTGATTATTGTGTGGTGTACTAAAATCTGGAGACACAGGTGAGTTCATGGATGTCTCCACAGAATTATGGAATCACTGAGGTTGGAAAAGCCCTCCCAGTCCAAGCTGGACTGATCCCAGCCCAGAGCACTGAGTGCCATGTCCAGGCATTCCTTGGACACCTCCAGGGTCAGGTCCTCAAACCACGGATTTTGGAGCTTTTGCTATGGAAGCACACAATGATTTGGGCTGGAAGGGATTTTAAGGATCACCTCATTCCCACCCCCTGCCACAGGCAGGGACACCTCCCACTAGCCCAGGTTGCTGCAGCCTGGCCTTGGACACTTTCAGGGACAGGGCAGCCACAGCTTCTCTGGGCAACCTGTGCCAGGGCCTCCCCACCCTCCCAGCCAGGAATTCCCTCCCAGCATCCCATCTAAACCAGTGGGAAGCCATTCCCTGTGTCCTGTCCCTCTAAGCCCTTGTGAAAATAACAGAATTCCAACTTTTTGTTCCTTAAACTTACTGAAATATGATCTGTAAAGCAGAACTGCTGATCTGGGTCAGGCTCCTGGGAACTCCTGAGGGTAGGGGCTGTATTTTTGGCACAGGAGATCCCACTAAGATCCCAAAGCCCATCTCTCCTGCAGGATTCTTAACTGGGATTGAAATGAGTCAGAGCAAGGTTCACAGAACAACTCTTACACGGCAGAGAACAAAGCAGGAGCCCATTTACCAAGGCAGCAATTGCCTCGGCGGAGCATCCGAGTCCCTGGGCTGCCGTTCCCAGCACTGCTGGTGAATGAAACTAATGATGGGAGCATCTCCGAGGAGTCGGGCTGGCAAATGGGAATGGGCTTTTCCAAACACTCAGCATTAACCTAACTCTGCTCCACTGAAGTAAAACCCCCCTCGACTTTGGTGGGAGCAGAGCGGCCCCATCCCGGCAGGACGAGCCCAGATTCCCTGCGAGCCTCCTCCCAAGAGCAGCCCCCCGAGCAGCAGCGTGTGCATATATCCCAAAAAATAGGGATGTTTGGGATCCAGCTGTTCCTGCCTTATCCAATAATTTGGGGATGTTACAGTGGCACTTCAAGCATATGTAGGATTCAGGATAACTGACTTTTCCCAAGCACACATATCTATATCCCATTCCACCCCTCTCCATCCCTGGAAGTGTTCAAGGCCAGGTTGGTTGGGACTTGGAGCAACCTGGGATAGTGGCACAGGATTTCAATGAGACGATCTTTAAGGTCCTTTCCAACCCAAATCATTCCCTGACTCCATGGTTTTCCAAAGGCACAATGCCCCTGGGAGCAGGCTGGAGGACTTGCCCTGGCTGAAGTTTCCCCCGGGTCTGGGGAGTCAGGCCAGCCCGTGGAGTTCACCTTGTGTGAGAGGCACCACCGCTGCCCCCTCCCTTTCCTCGTTCCCTGTTTTCCCTGTTCCCAGTGCCCTTGTGACACCGATCCCCGGGACCAGGGAGCTTTGCAGTGCGTCGGTGCCTCCCGGAACGCGGGATAACCTGGCTGGCTGCTGGCCCTGTCTGGAGCTCCAAAGGGAGACAGGACTTTCCCTGGGAGCCACGGGCAAGGGAAGCAGATTTGCCGGTCTGGTACTTTCCTCTCAGAAGACGTGCTCTAATGCCTATTTTGGGAAGCAGATCGGAGCGGTTCCGCTCACATCCCTGCCTGCCAGGCACCACCTTGCCTCCAGCGCACTCAGAGCCTGCGTTCCCCACCCGGGAATCTCATCCAACTTCAGCGCTCGGCTTCGGATTCCCGGGGCTGGGCTTTGGCTGCTTCCTCCTCCTGCCGTTCTATCCTTAGCAGGATTCACAGGCTTTCAGCTCCCTCACACTTCCCGCTCCCCAATCCTGGCACCGCCGCCAACGACGGAGCGGCTCCGAGCTCGGGGTCTCTCACTTGTGCTCAGGCTCTCGCTGGGCCACGGCCAAGTAGGTGAAAGACTGGGGAAGGGGGAAGGGGAGAGCCGGGACCACTCTCAGATGTTGCAGGCTGGAGCTAAACCCACCTCGGGATCCATCATGAGTTTTTGGGGTGTGTTCCTGGGGTGTTCAGAAGGGTTTGGTCAGGAGGTGTCAGCTCCTGCCCTGGGGACTCTGAACACCCAGGCACGGTGTCCCTGCTAGCACTGTTCCCTGGGAATTCTCCCAGATACAGACGCTCTCGAGCACATTCCCTGTGTGTTCCAGGGCTGGCTCATCACTCCAGCTTGGCTGATTCCATGAGCCACAAGCTGCTCCTCTGTCAGTGTCTCCTGCTTTGTCTCTATTTGTACCCAAGGGTGTCTGTGGAGGTTGGATCAACTTTCCTGAGGGAAACAGCTCCTCCTCAGATAAAGGCTCCCAGTGTGGCTGCTCCTCCACCTGTTTCCCACAGGGATCGAGGGGGAAATCATCACCCAAGGTATCTTGTTTCCCAGGGAAGTTGTGGCTGCCCCATCCCCAAGGCTGGGTTGGAGCAACCTGGGCTGTGGAAGCTGTCCCTGCCCATGGAATAGGATGATCCTCAAGGTCCCTTCCAGCCCAAACCATTCTGAGCAGCTCAGCCCGGCTGCTGGACTCCTCTCTGATTCCAGGCACCAGGAATCCCAGCTGGAGAAGCAGCAGAGGACACTGTCAGCTGTCACAAGTGCCACCGTGGCTCCTGACATCCCCAAAGGCCAAGGAAAGCTTCCTGGGATTTGGCAGAGCCGGCATTCCTCCCCTCAGCTCCGTCACACAGTTATTTGCTGCCTCTCTAACTTCCACACATCCCTGTTCCAGTGACTGGGATGACGTTGGCAGAGTGATTCATGCTGCCAGTTCCTGGCTGGAGCCGCATCCAGGAGTTTATTTTGGGAGCGGCAGGCGCACACCTACCATGGAGGGGCAGGAGAAACCAGGGCTCTGCCAACTGCAGAGGCACGAAAAGTTTGGGTTTCACCTCAGCACAGAGCCAAAGGGGGGTCAGGCACAGAACAGGTGGAATTTCTACTCCAGGCTGAAGAGGCTGCTTAAACATTCCTGGTTTTTACATGCAGAGGACGCTGGAAGCTGCAATATTGACCAAAGAAATGCTGTCTTTCCAAAATAAACTGATCCCATAATTTCCTTGGTAGATGGCTACGGAGTCAACCCTCGGGAGGTTCCTCTGATGCAGGCAAGTGAGTGTTCTGCTTTTCCAGAGAAGGAAACTAAGACAGTGCTCACCATTTTCCAAATGTA